AGAGAGAGAGAGAGAGAGAGAGAGAGAGAGAGAGAGAGAGAGAGAGAGAGAGAGAGAGAGAGAGCTCTATGGCCCGGAAGAGAGAGAGAGAGAGAGAGAGAGAGAGAGAGAGAGAGAGAGAGAGAAAGAGAGAACTATATGGCCCGGAAGACAAGTGCAGGATTGTCGGAATCGATGAGCGTGTGAAGGGGGAAATCGAACGGAAGGCTGTCCGGATGAAGAGAGGGTTCCCCGGCGAAGGACGTCAAGACGTGCATGAGCTCAGCAAAGACGACCTCGTTTCCCGCGGGCGTAAAATGCAGACCATCTCTGAGGCACACCTTCCTCCAATTGGGGATTCGTTGTATGGCATTCCACAAGTCCACAACTCCCACTCTCCCGCCCGTTTCCGCGGCCATGTCCTCCCCGACCTCCTTGCACGCGTCCGCGTACAGCTTGGCAACCTCGTTCGTCCTCTCTGGCACCTGCGTCGCCGCTACGCCGTACTTCTCCCGCGCGTACGCCAATCTTCCCTCCTCGTCGATGGGAGGAGTGGTGATCAGAACAACTCTCACTCCCGTGGTCGTCCCGGCGGGAGAGAGACTCATCACATGGGTAACCATCTTGCGCAAGTTGGACTTGTACTCCTTGAGAGGTACGTGCTGCCTCTTGCTGCTTCCATAGGGCAAAGCAAGGTCGTTGGCGCCAAAAAAGATAGTCGCCAGCAAAGGGGTTTGGTCCGTCTTCACGGCATTTGCCCGCTGTATCGGCGAGGGGAAGACACGTGGCAGTAGATACATCGCCCACCTGGTGTTATACCCACTGTATCCACGACAAATCACGTCCACCTTCCGTGCGTATTGATCAGCGAGAGCGGCTCCCCACCCACCTGGGCCAAACGACTGCTGAGTCAGCGAGTCACCGAACAACACGAATCTTGGTCTCACCCCGCCCTCTCCTGACAGGCCATCATCGCCCTTATTACCCGCCGCAAGTTTCTTAACGGCAACCGCTGCTTCTCTCTCGCCTCCTCCTCCTCCCTCTCCTCCTCCTCCCTCTCCTCCGACTCCTACTCCTACTCCTCCTACTGCTGCTCCTGCTGCTGCTGCTGCTGCTACAACCATTTGTCTTCTATCTGTCTCTTCTTCCCTTTGTTGGGCCTGGACTTCGGCAATAGCTTCCTCCCGCGCTTCCATGCCTTGTTCGGTTCCCAGACCCAATCCCAATCGCCCTTCCCCCCGGGCGACACTACCTGTCCCGGTCCCGATCCCGATTAGTACTTGGTGCTCCCTCGCCAGAGGTCCTTCGTCGCCCATGATCCGCTCTGGGGGTGACGTAGCAATGATAAACACGTTTCCCGTGAAGATAAGGTTCAGGATAACGGCGGTCAAGACGCCAATCAAGAACCACGCGAGTCGGGACTGCAGAAGGGGTTCGAGGTGAGCTGCAGCGGGGAGCAGGGAACGGACACCTGGATGGGGATCGCGCTTGCGAGGAGCTGCGGGTGACGGCGAGTAGGCTGGAAGGACCGACGAGAAAGACGAAGCATGGTCGCGACGCCGGGGGGTGGAGGCCATTGATCAATGTAATTCGAGGCCGACACCACATGGCATGATTTTGAAAGCCATACCCGCCCGTCTCAAACCATGACCATATTTTTTTTAATTTTTTTTTTGTGAACAACCCGAGGTAGTGCTACCGGTAGGGGTGCTGATATCCAGCGGCCTAGCTCAGTTGGTAAAGCACGCAAGTGGCATTCAGGAGGTCTTGGGTTCAATCCCTCATGTACCTTCCTGGGCATGCTTGGCGCCCGCCACCTAGAGATAGCACGTTGGTCCCCCCAATTGGCATTAGAAAGCAGTCTCTGCTGATGTTCATAGGGGGAGGGGTAATCGGGGAGGCACAGCGACTGGCCACTCAGATGATGCTCGGTCCCTCTGCCACCGGCTGTCCCCGGCCGGTGTCCCCCGCTGGGGGTTCCCTGAAGGCAATCAAGGCCACCCTGCGCTGAAAAGGCCACCCGATGTCAGATTAGACATAATATTGAATTTACCTGGGCTGGTTAGTCCGATGATAATGCCTCAAGGCCATCGCCCTTTTGAAAAGGAAAAGAAAGGTAGGGGTGCTGATAAGAACAGACACCACTAACACTGTCGGGGAGGCTCCGTCTATTGCTGGGTCCAGCATCCCTGAACATCATAATTGCTTTTTTGCCAAAACATCCTATTGTAGCTACTGCCAGCCGCGAGGACCGCTCTCAAAGTAGGAAATTTGTTTGACCCATAGTCCCCACGACAACTCATTGGCCTGAGCCGGTAGCCTATGCTATTAGGGGTCGGAACCCACTGCTCGGCTTGCTGGAAATTTCTTTCCAGGCCGGTGTGTTTGGGACTCCACCGATCTGAGGAAAAGAGGATGGAAACCCAGAATTAGAAGGTTTTTCAGACCCCACAGACCGTGGAAGGACGTTGCGGGAAAGGTGTCAGAAGTGTTTCTACACGGTTGGCGGCATGGAAACCGAACCGCGCCGCCTTCCACGACCTTTCCAGAAAGGCCTTCCAACCGACTGGGGGGGGGGGCATGTTCTCCCGTGGAAAGAAGATGCCGAGCGGGCGTGGTCCAGCTGATGTCGCGGCGGCCGTTTCATGGGCGGGCAAGCCCCCTCGGACATGCACTGCCGTGCCGCACGGTTCCCATGTGGGCTGTTGTGTGGCTGGCCTGCGCGGGCCCTGATTTCGAAACGGCAACGGATTTCAAATTCAAAAAACGGGCGGGCCGGGGATGACGGCCAGCCATGCAGGGGTGATCCAGCCAAGCACGGGCAGCATATGAGCGCACATGCGGATCTCATTAGCCCCAAGCGTTGTCCTCGTGCCGAGTACTGGGATGCGAAGGTGCGTTCGGAGTGCAATGCCATGTCTGAGGAGCATTATAAGCGCAGGGCGCGGGGTCTGTGGTCGGCGCACACGGAAGGGGCGGCCAACGCAGCGACGGTTGTCAGGGCAGGGAGTCGTTCGGGGAGAAGCCGTTTCGCCAATCAGTCGTGGTGTGAACATATTGCAACTGCTGTTTCAACCCGCATGGGCTGCGATGGGAGTTACTGTTCCACGTATACCGCCATTGTCTTCATCAACTTTTCGTCATCCTCATCGGATTCCGTGTGGCCTCTGGACTTGGCTGCACGCGATTGCGTACTCCAATCTCCACATCCGCATATTGTCCACGCGGCCGTTGCTCCTTCTTCCTGTCGCTGTCGTGCCTCTCCATCGTGCCATCATCGTTGCTGCCCTCCTCCGGTTGTCGTCATCCACGAAGCAAGCATTGTTGGCGGACGAACACACCAATTGTAGGCTACAATAGGTTGCTGTTTTGTTGTCATCGTCGTCATCTTCACCACCTTGTTGCTGTCCATTTTCGTGTTCTGCATCGTTCTCTTCTTCACCTTCTTCTGGCCGGTACTGGGACTGTAGTGGTGCAGGCAGGCGATCTACTTGCGGTGGTCAGCGTCGACATTCGTGGCCTTTGCAAGGGGGAGGGGGGGGATGGATCCGAGTCAGTGGAGGGCGGAGAACCAGGGAGGCATTGAGGGGGGAATGGATCCGAGTCGGTGGAGGGCGGAGAACCAGGGAGGCATTGAGGGGGAAATGGATCTGAGTTGGTGGAGGGCGGAGAACCAGGGAGGCATTGAGGGGGGGGTTCCAACGCAGGACGGACGTCCGCAGGCAGGTAGTCGGTACTCATGCCCGTCATCGCCGAGGCTACAGTCCTTCACCGGACAGCTGTACGACGGGGGGCGAGGTGCACCGATTCGTGTCTCGGCAAGCCCCCTCCCCTCTTCGCAGTCTCATGCAGACGCAGCGGGGCAATGTACTCGGTCCCATGTTCAGCCACCTGCGGCCACTATGTTTGTTGGAGGTGGTCATATGTGAGACACACACCGTACGCCACCCAAGTTGGTGGCGGGTATGGCGTGGGCAGTGCACATACGTTGCTGGTGGGAAATGGGTTCGGCTTCGTTGCTCACGTGTTCGCCACGCAACAGACATTTGAGAGGGGGAGTGCAATGCGGAATGATCGACCTTGGTCCCCGCAATCCGGGCAGAGTTCCCAGCCATCGCACGACCTGTACTCCAGCACCACCACTCTGTCCAGCAGGCGATCACCTTCCACTCCCGGTCCTTCCAGCGTGGACGCCGACGGATGCGACATAGACAATGCATGGACGCCGCATTGCGGGACTTCTATCCCGTCAGGGTTCGACAGCGATGCCGCAAACGGCTACGATGGTCAAGCGTGCGAGGATATGGAGGATGACACTAGTAATGGAGATGGAGACGATGTTGACGACGATAATGGCAATGGAGACGACGTTCCAAAAACGGACAAAGTCGGTGATTCCAATTGGAGACACGATAGCAGACGTGGGTAGAAAAAAGGTCGGAACGACGGACCACCGAGAAACAAAAAACAAAACCTACCGTGGACGTTGGAGGAGAGGATATGGCTGACAAAGATGATGGGGGAGGACGACGCGCTCATGGCTGACGCCAATGGACAACATCAGTTCATGAAAAGGAAGGGGCGGTATGAGTGGGTGGTGGATCGCATAGCATCCGACGGTTATCCTCAGAGAACTGCGGAGGACTGCCGTAGGAAGTGGACGTCCATGTTGTCAAAGGCGAAGCTCATCCTTGACAAGTGTGAGAATGCATCGGGCCTGTCGTCGTACTGGGACACTGACTTGGAAAAGTGGAAGGAGCTGCAAGTGCCTCTCGCCTTCGAGAAACCGTTGTGGGATGCCATGCAATAGAAACTGAACAGACCATCCATGACGTGCGATCAAACATTGGGCTCTGAGGACCTGTCGGGAGCGGGAGAAGGAACGCTGCCTTCGGGGAGAAGTGGTTTCGGAAAAAGTGGGTATGAGGTAAGAGGAACGAACGACTCAGAGGGCGCAACGAAGATGCGAAAAACATCTCAGGGAAAACTAGGATGAACGATGCAGGGACCGGCGGATCGACTTTGGCGAGGGCAATGGAGGAACGACACGATCTTACTGCGATGGTCTTGACAGGGGCGCTTCTACATTGGTGAAGGCAACCTCGGATGTTGGGACTGCGATGGCAGCAAAGATCGGTGATGTGGCGGAGGCGATAAGGGGAGGGAACACTGTCCTCGAGATGCTCGTAGGGGTTCTCGCCCCCCGCTATATGGGGTCTGTCTGTGGTGACGACAACAGCGGGGACACGAAGCCATCGTCTACCTTATATATATATATATGTATATATATATGTATTGGGCAGCAACACAGTGGATCAGTACGAGGCGGAACCGCATGGGGCCACACACAGATACAGAAAGATATATATGTATTTTCGTGTTTCTGTGTGGGCCCATTCGGTTTCGTCTGGTACTGATCCACCGTTGTCGGAGGGCACGGTGTCCCGGCCCTCCTGTGTACCAAATCTCTGCATAGTGTTAGTTTCCTGCGCTGGTACCTGGATCGTTTTTCGGCGTGGACAGATCCCGGTGGCGTAACCTTCAACAAAAGGGGTGCGCCACAGGACTTTCATTGGTCCACGCAGGCTCGGCGCCCTGCTGTACAGAAGAGCACAACCGGCCTGTGGCCGTGGTAGCCGTCGGGTTCGCCTTGGGACGCGAAAGTAGAGAGATAGGCGCTGTCTTTTCTATTATGCACCAAGCACCCCTCTACAGGGTTATGGGTCAGATGCATGACACTGACAGCAGTCAAAGAAACAGAAGGCTAAAGCAAAAAGCAGCAAGAAAAGAAAAATGGAAAAGAAAACAAGGGTCTAACTTTAACGCAGTTGAACTACGAGCTTCAGTTCGGGGAAATATGATGGTCTCTGACCCCCGGTTATCGTTGCATCTCACTCTATTATTATTATTATTATTATTTACTTGTTGTTATCGTTATCCCTTTTTCCGCTTTCCTTGATTTGGTCTGTTGTTTTGTAGGGAGACCAACAGGGCCGGACTTCGAGTTCAGGCGGTGGTATTGTGGTCTAGGCAGGCCCAACCTTTTGAATATTATCTGTATCGGGTCCATGCGCCTGAGGCTCTGCGCGGTAGGACCCCAGTAGCTGTACTACAGGGCAGATGCAGTGGGCCTGAAAAAGGGAAGTGTGAAAAAGAAGGGAAAGGGGTAAGGATGAAAATCGGGTTTTGGGCTTGTGCGCGAACTTGCAACGCTATTCAGGCGAAGCCTGCGGCGCGAAGGAAACTTGAAGCGCCGTTCTTTCTTTTCGCATTGATTGTCATTTATTACTATTACTATTATTATTATTATTATTATTATTATTATTATCAGTATTAATTTTTCCTATTTCCAGTTTCTCGCCTGTCAGCCTGTCATCTCACGGGAAGGCCAACGGTTCGTATTTCGAACTCGGCGACTCACAGCGTAAGTAGACCGACCCCACATATACTGTCTGTGGGCTAGCTTTGGTTTGGCATAGTGCGGTAAGGCCCCAAAAGGGGGGCGACCCGCGGCCGCATTGGTAGGAGGAATATCACCCCCTACAGAGGGTCATAAACCCCCTCCTTGCGATCGGACACGGGTACCCGTCGGGTATAGGCCAACGCGTACGTCTTAAAGAAAGAGAAATGCTTGTCAGTGTTCCGTTATGGGACTTCAGATATTGGGCCGTGGTCACATCATGATAATTAATGGCTTGACGGCGGCATAGCGATGTCGAACCATTCCTTGACCGTTGAGTTTTCGGTTTTGAATTATTCAGTTTTTATTTTGCTTTATATTTTGGAATATTAAGACTTTTAGAGCGCGGGGTCATAGCGAGGGGTGAGCCTATAAAGAGGTGAGGCAAACGAGTTCTTGGCAGTGAAGCCTCTTCTATTGTGTTGACGCTGTTGGCCTGAGAAAGCGGTGGATAGTCTGTGGGCACCAGTGTTGGGTCTAGTGTTGTGCTATCTATCAAGCGGGGCAGGCTATCCTGAGTAGCAGTGACGCTACACGGCTATAGGCCTGGCTGTTGGCGGCACACTGTGCGCTGGGTCCCAGTGTCAGGTGAAGGCCCCCTGATTACGACGGCCCTGAACTATAATGGGGGAGAAGTAGTTCGACTGAACGTTTGTATTGAAGGGGGGAGAGAGGAGGAGATGCGAGGTGACCAAAGGCTGCAGGCTGCCATTTTCGAAGCGTGCGACAGGGCAGAGCGGAGATGCAGACGAGACGGGGTGATCGTGGGCTTGAGAGTGACGGTCATCTATCACGAGACCGAATCATCAACTGGGACCGAGACAAGGGAGGAGCAGCACAACGAGAGAGACTAAGGCGGGGAAAGTGAAATGAGCGAGGCTGACTGTGAGACGGATCTCAGGTCCTGGAACAGACCCGAGGAAATCCAAAAGCACCACCGGGCCGCGGAGCCGGTGGAAAAGGGACCTGAGGCCAGCTCACGACAGCCGACTCCCAGAGGCCGCGAGGCAGGAGGAAAACGGAGCAAGGGGAAGAGATAAGTGTGAGACACGAGAGGCAGAACACATGCGCTGCGAAGAGGTCAACGAAGAGAGAGACAGAGAGTAAGCGGGAACGGGATGAGTTCGCGGAGCACGCTTGATGTCAACTGAACGACATCTGTAGCGAACCAGAGGTGACGAAATGAGTGGTGCGCGTGAGTGTGATGGGTGTGTATAGACTGCACGTGGCGTGGTCTGGGAGGAGCAAGAGGGTGGTCAATGAGAAAAGTGAGAGGGGAGAGTAGGCAGTACGCCTGAGACACGCGGGGCAGCCCGATAGAGCAGGCACGAGCGGTCAATGAAGAGAAAGAGAGAGGGCGACAAACGTCAGTGGGGGTTCTCACGCACGTGCACAGTGCATACGCCTGCAGCAAGGGAGCATGAGCGGAACAGGGAGAGCAATCGTTGAGAGCTCTGAGCTGAACCAAGAAGAAGAGGGGAAGACGTGGGACGGTGACGCGTACTTGGTCCCGCGTGGCCCGCACCAGGGAAGGAGGAGTGTTGAGAGAATGCACGCGGCTGACAGGGAGACATTTCTAAAAGAGCGTGCAGGGAGAAGGTCAAAGAGGCGTAGTGGTTGACGTCACAACTTCCATGGCTTGGAGTAGCTTGAACTCCGTCATCTCAGGGACCCGAGCTGTTATTTCTAGGTAGCAAGAGAGACATCAGAGAAAGCTTGTGATGACTAGTGTGTCTTCCACGAAAAGGTTTCTTCATGGTGCAGCAGAAAATAGACCCTTTCCTCGTCACTCATGCGTGATTAGCTTGGCCAAAAACTAGTTGCAGAGAAAGTTTCGTTTCTTTGAAAATGATTTTTCTTACCATCTATCACGCCGCTCCTGAGTGACCTTCAGCCTGTGACGAACACGGTTGTCAGAGACCGCCGATCCGCTTCTTTGTGGTTGCTCAGGCCGAAAATCTCAGATAAGATGGTGACTATTGCAAGATAATTTCCTTCGACTTTTAATTTCGGCTCTCTTTTCCTTCCTTTTATTTGGTTAATAAGAATGATTGATCGTTGTTGACCGATTATGTCCCACTTTGACGAGGGTTAAGCCTGCGGTGGATCGTGCAGATAGGTAAAGAAGGGGGTGAAGCCCCGACACGGGACAACAGTTGGAAACGCGCTGGCAGTGAAAAGCGTCCAAAGCACAGACTACTATTCTAAGGAAATTAACAAAATTGAAATGGTTGGACAATCTTGATGTTGACACTTGTCTATTGTGTGTGTTCACCTGTGTTACCTGTGTTGAGTGGTCTATCTGACCACATGGCAAGGTCAAAGAGACGTGCAGTCAGTGTTTTAGTGTGTCCTGCCATATGATTGCATCGTGTAACTACACCGTGTGATCACCGTGCAATTGTGTCATGTGATCGCATCATGTAACTGCACCATGTGATCTCATCGTGCAATTGTGCCATGTGATCGCATTGCGTAACTGTATTGTGTGGCTATACCGTGCGACTAGGCCACGTGACCGTATTGAGTAACAGTACCGCGAGACTATACCGTGTGATTGTACCACGCTACTGCGCCGTGCAATCGCGCCATGTGGCTGCATCGTGCGTTTGCTCCATGCGATTATGCTGCGTGACTGCGCCATGTAACGGCGCGAGTGCGTGAAAGTGTAGGCTTGCAAGTGTTCACTCAACTGGATGGTGGCCTATAGAGAATAGAACTCGATTGTGTCGTGAGAAGGAGAGGGTGCGAGTCTGTGAAAACCTGCATTAACCTGCGCGTGCAAGCTGTGTGCCTTGTGAGTCTGATAACCGCTGGTGAGTGTTTGATCAATTGTGCGGATCTTCTTCTACAAAAGGGAAAAACGTAAAGAATGATTTTCGTTGGCTGTCTTCCTACGCCTTGACTCCTGATTGGATGGGGAAAAGAAAGTCAGTACTAAGGGGAATCTCCTATGTCCTCGCTAAATTCCTCCTTGATGGTGACTGAGTGTCGTTTTGCCTGGACGGGTAGGATCTAA